GTAGTGATTCTTGTGAATTGTGGACAGCTGGTCAACAGAACCCTCACCATGGCATGAGCTTATCAGACTTTCAACAGGATGAGATAAAAACTGCTGTGTTAAAATTAACAACATAAAGTCTGCATTAATGTAATGTATCAACGGGACACTTGCTATTTTAGAAAAGTAATTCTTTACATTTGCAAAATTTTTAAACTTCATTGTGCTCAGTCACACCTGTTAGCATAAAACTTGAAATATTAAAATAGTACAAAACCTTTGATAAGTGACAGTAAAGATCAGTTTATAACAACTAAGACATCAAACTCTTGTATTTGTCTTCATTTACAATTGCAACAAATTCCACAGAACCAATTGCTCTGAAAATGCGTGTATGCTTCTGAAACATTTGATAAGATGGATATTTCAGAAACATTAGTTTGAGTCTGCTCAATTGCAAAACAAAGGAAAAACTACTGACTTGCATGAGATAAGCATCTGCAGAGTCCACCATTACATTGTTGTTCACAGAAGTTTCTTAAACCATGAACAAATGAGTAATTGTCTAATCTGGAATGTAAAGTGTAGTCATTTAGGGACATACAAAAGTGAGAATGAGAACTTGCAAGTATCAAAAAACAAACAGTAAAATAAAAACTGTCCTTAACACTAAGGCAATTGTATGCTGTGAGCATATATCTGATAAAAACTAACATAATGCTGGTTTGTAGACCATATTTTGTCTCAATCCTCAGCACACTCTTGCAGCTTAGCATGCAGTAGTTAATAACAACTTAAGTGATTACATAGGGGTAAACAGATGACAACAAGCATCGGAGTCCTGCCAAAACATTATTTTTGAAATATGGAAATATTGCCAAAATGAACTTCCACCAAAATACAACAGCCGGTGAACTTGAAAGAAATTTACAAGTACAGGGACAATATAAAATAAGCTTTATTAATTAGCTGAGTTAGCTTGCTAATATTGCAACAGTGGTTGAGTGCACAACCTTAAAGCTAGCGGCACAATAATTGTGATTTGGTCAGTGCCACATTAAACCCATAAAAAAGGCCATATGTCAGTTTATTAGGTTAAGTTTGGTCATGACACACAAGCTGGACCTTGTCGGCTAAAGTTACATTAGCTAAAGCAAACATTTCGGTAAAAGAGAAAACCCACGTCATGCCATAAATCCAAAACATGTTCCAACTTTTGTAGCTCTCTTTCTTTATAGTTATAACCAATGTTACTCACCTTGAAAGCATATTCCAATGAAGACGATTAGAAAACGTCCAAGTAAAGTGAGCATGTCGTTAACCGCCAATTCCCCATGATGCACCTCGATAGCAGTCACGTGGGACAGTTTTGAATCCTGCTGTGCTCAACTTACCCACGTTGTCAAGTTCACATAAGTTGCTGATTTAGCTGGACATGAGTTTTCAAGGTAGCTTTTTTTGGTGTGATTGGGACGTTTTTAACTTGTAATTATATGTTATAACAACAACTTCAGTCATCTATCGTCAAACTGATATAGAATAATATGTTAAAATAACAAACATCTAGAATTACATTTTACAGTGTGATGACTGATAAGAATAAATACAAATAAGTTATAAGTGGAAAAAGTAAAATGGAATACTAATAAATGAATGAAATGCATGACACGTGCTCGAGAGTGGTCTACCATACTTGATATGATACAGAAACTGGCTGCTAGGGAAACCTGGTAATTGCAGATGTCGTCTGATATCCTTATGTTGGAGTTGTTTCATGGTAATCATAATTAATATTGGTCCAGCTTCAACATTACAAGTGACCAATGACATTGTTGTGATATCATAGTTTTGTGATGTGGAAACTTTGACCCCAGAACCCTAACCCCGTCCCTGACCTCAGCCTAACACAAATAGAGTAGAGATGTGCAGTTTTCTTCCACATCACAGAACAATGCAATTGGTCACTTGCATTGTTGAACCTGAAGAAACACCAAGGTTTTGTTTTTTAGATTTTTGTCCTCTTCACACCAGCATTTGAAGCTATGACGGGATACCACGAAACCACGAGTATAAGCTAATTCTCAATACTTGACTATTTGCCTTTTTCACTAAATCAATCATTTGTGCAGTCGGTCAATAGCGAGCCATTTTGAGAGCACGGACCAGAGTCTGAAATGGAGGAAGCTCCACTGTAGGAGGAAAATAACTTGTCTATACCACAGAGGAATCCTTCACAGTGCCGAGTCGGGACTTAATGATTTAATGTGACTAATGAATAAACTGGAACAACTTAAAGAGCTAATGAGCTAAAATCAAATTTGTTTGTAGTCACTCTGAGAGGCTCTGTGGGTTGATTAAAATCTAGCAATCACTAGCGTCAAAAACTGGGATGTGAGTGGATCTTTTCATATTCATATTCCAACCAGCCCTATGAGCAGTCTCAGCATTTGTGTGAGGAAACAGGGATGAATTTCGCTTTGATGACTGAGCCTTAACTGTAAACCTCTCATCTTTTATACCTGTTCCTATACCTTTGTTCATCCTTCTTTTCTGCATCTTTTCCTCTCCCACTCTTTGTTCTCTTGCGCCTCCCTCTCTCTGAATCTCGGACAGTTTGATGTGCAATTTCTATTTAATCCTCAAAACGGTTCCTTAAACAGCACATTGTGCCTTTGTGTGTGTTTGTGTGAGTGTGTGTGTGTGTGTCAGAGCCCATTGAAGCGTTGCCAGCTGTAAACATGATTCAAAATTTCCCATCTGTCATCTGCTCTGTTGCTCTCTCACACACACACACATGCACACATGTCTGGTGTTGCTACACACACACACACACACACACACACTCTCAACACACATAT